GCGCTGCTACTACCACAGTAATAGCTTCATTGTTCAACTGTGTCTTCTTTTAGAGCTGCAAAACTATCGATGGCACTATCTATAGTATCGATGGTTTTTGGCTATCGAAAACATCGATGGTTTTGTAAGCACTATCGATAGTTTTTCCTCATACATAATTATTCAGTAAGAGTAAAATCTGGCGGTACCTGCCTCATCTTTTGAGTCGGAAGGGAAATTTAGCAAAGCAGGGCAAATAATTTGAGAGCGCAGATCAGTGTTGCCGTTTTAGCCCTTTGGTGGCTAGATTTAGCTTCCAAATACTTTTTTTGGCCACATAAATTTAAAATTGCCCCTAGCCCTTTTTTTAGCCCCTTGGAGAATTTATTCATACTGGGCATGGAAAAGTTGTATATGCTTAATTTGATCTATTTTTTTTGCACATATGTAAGAGATGAATTTTTAAACTAGACTGACATATATGTATTGTATGTTCCTTACGTTTTTATACATACATACTGTATAAGTGTTAGGGCTGTTTTTTAACTTATCTATTAACGATTTAACTATAGTTTAAAATAGATAAGTTTACCCCCCTTACGGCCAGTTTTTCAGTGCCAGTTTAAACTCAGATTAAGTAAACTGGATTTAAATTGAACAGCTGGCTGACACTTGATTGGCTGATCTTAGTTTAAACCAACCAGATCGGGCGTTTAAACTTAGTTTGAACTACGGCCGTGCACTGAAAAACTGGCCCCTAATATGCTTCATTAGTTAAATGGCCCATGAAGTCGATTGACCTTGTATGTTCTTGTGGTGCGATTGTACCAGCTGCTGGTGCGACTTCAAAAACTATTTGAAAATTTTATGATTGTACCAGCGTGCTGGTGTCGTGAGTGGTGAAATTAGCTAAATTTTCTAATTAAAAAATAATTTGGCGCAAATTTCAAAGCCGTGTTTGTGGAATATTAAGTTCACGATATTGCAGTTGTGAATTAAAAAAAAAAAACAATGTTTAACAAAATGGTAGAAAAATTATGAAATTTCGGCTCAAATCATTTCGATCTTTCCTCGACCTAATTTTTAAATAAATAAATATTGTACCAGCATGCTGGTAAGTTATATGCTTCGAGCTTGATGGTACAATCACTTGATCGATCCAGCAAGCTGGTGTCGTATATTTCCCTTTTTATACGAAAAGGTTTTTGCTTGGATAAAATATTAGCTTTTTTCCAGGGTTCATTGTTTTTCTATACCATTACTTATTGAAAATGTTTGCGTGTATACTTATATACGATTATGTAAGTAAACAATTTTAGCTACCATTTTTATCCACAACGACTTTTTTTAGCTCTTTTTTAGCACTTTTTTTAAAGGAATTTGGCTACCATTAAAAATGCTTCGCGGCAACACTGGCGCAGACGCTGCTTGAAGCCAAAAATCATTGATAAACTTTTGTCCCATAACAAAAATATGGACATATTTTAGCAATTCTGATGGTTGGGACCAGAGACCAGTTGCGGTGTATCGCATTTTCGAATACACCGCAGCGACATTTATTTACTGTACCACTCAAACTCAATAATACTTAGTAATGAACGCCACCGCAATCACCGCAAGCTCAAATAATGACGTGTTTGAGTGTTTTGTGCTCGATCAAAGCGTCGTTACTGCATATTATGGCACCGCATTTTCATGTCGGCTTCGGCTATGCGGTGGTATGAGCGGTCGTTTAAACAACGCAAACATCGCATTACTTGCGGATATGCTTGTTTGAATGCGGTGCACCGCATTATACGAGTGTAAGTGAAATAAAAATGAATTGAATTAAAAGAAAATACATATTACATTTTTTGTGTATTTAAATTTGACTAATTGTTCATATTTATTAATTTTTTTGTAACATGCATACATACAAACTCTGTAGGCAACTGTAGCGATAAAATGCTCTTATAATCAGTGTTGCCCTTTTAGCCCTTTGGTGGCTAGATTTAGCTACCACATACTTTTTTTGGCCACATAAATTTAAAATTGCCCCTAGCCCTTTTTTTAACCCTTTGGAGAATTTATTCATACGTGGTATGAAAAAGTTCTATATTTGCTTAATTTAAACTAAGAAAGACTGATATAACATATATGTAAAATTATGTTCCTTACGTTTTTATACATATGTACGTACTGTAAAAGTGTTAGGGCTATTAACTTATCTATTAACGATTTAACTATAGTTTGAAATAGATAAGTTTACGGCCCTATGCTTAATTTTTTAAATGGTCCATCAAGTCGATTGATCGTGTATGTTCTTGTGGTGTGATTGTACCAGCTGCTGGTGCGACTACAAAAACTATTTGAAAATTGTATGATTGTACCAGCATGTTGGTGTCGTCAGTGGTGAAATCAGCTCAATTTTCTAAGTAAAAAGTATTTTGGCGGAAATTTCGTGCACTATATGAGTCAAAGCCGTGTTTGTGGAAGATTAAGTTCACGATATTGCAGTTGTGAATTAACAAAAAAAAAACAATGTTTAACAAAATGGTAAAAAAATTATGAAATTTCGGCTCTAATCATTTGGATCCTTCCTCGACCTCATTGGTAAAGAAATAAATATTGTACCAGTATGCTGGCATGTTATATGCTTCGAGCCTGATGGTAGAATTACTTGATGGAGCCAGCAAGCTGGTATCGTATATTTCCCCTTTTATACAAAAAGGTTTTTGGTTGGATAAAATATTCGCTTTTTTTCAGAGTTCATTGTTTTTCTGTACCATTTCCTATTGAAAATGTTTGCGCATATACTTATATATGAACATGTAAGTAAAAAAATTTAGCTACCATTTTTAGCCACAACGACTTTTTTTAGCTCTTTTTTAGCCCTTTTTTTTAAGGAATCTGGCTACCACTAAAAATGATTCGCGGCAACACTGCTTATAATGCGGTGCACCGTATTCAGCCAAGCATATCCGGAAATAATGCGATGTTTAAACGACCGCTCATACCACCGCATAGCCGAAGTCGACATGAAAATGCGGTGCCACAATATGCAGTAACGACGCTTTGGTCATACAAGTCATCGCAAACACGAACGCGACAAAAAATGCGATGCACACAAATATCGCATTGCTTGCGGTGGCGGTTATACTTACACCGCATTGTTTTCGAGTATACTTGATGTCTCGAGAAAGGCACCGCATGCTGATCACTGGTTAGGACTACTATCATTTCTAAGTAAAACTATTATTCAGCGGCAATGCTCATAGCGCTCCAATCAGCAATATTAATTTGTATCAAATATAGCATTAAGTGGTGGTTCATAAAAAATGTATTAGAATCAGAATGAATAGATTATATTGCATTTTTTTCAGAAATTGATGCACGATATGAATTTGTTTTTCAAATATTTCTCAAGTTGCTTTCATTAGTGCTGAAAAGCAACCATACGTGTAAGAAATTGTGTGCTACCTAAAATTTCACCTCTGGAAACTTTATACCCATACCCATCACCACAGTTTTTTTTCTGGATATACTGAGGTTTGTCTATTAATGAGGGCATTTCCACTAATCGTTTATTTTCAATAGATAACAAAGTAAGATAAGCAACAATTGACAGAAGACCTGAAAAATTTTATTTTTGCCACCTTAAAGTCTATCTTTATAAAGGACTCTCTAGAATGCTAATTTTCTTGGAAAAATCTGTTAAAGATTTTAATTTTATTTAACTAATTAGGGCCAAATTCACAGTGCGTAGTTAACCACTGGCAAAAGTTCAACTATTGATTTTGATAGACACAACGCTCAGTTAACAAACGTTTAAACCAGCATGCCTCCATAGTTAAACTCTTGTGAAATAGAATTTTTTTTTGTGGAACGAATTTCAAATTTGAATAGAAAAGTATTGATATTTAGAATTTGTATATTTTCAGGCGATATGAATTTTCATAGTTTGACTCTGAATATAAATTCAAAGTTAAACTCTTGTTGGTGGTTAAGTTAACAATCGTTTAACTAAGCACTGTGAATCCGGCCCTTAAAGGTATGTAATTATTCTAAAGGTAGAACTCTCAAATAAAAAATTATTTTCTTTATACATGTAGATTCTTTCATTGAGAAAAATGCACTATTCTAAAATTGATGAAACAATAAAAAAATGTTTAATGACGCTAGGGACAGAAAAGCTAAACAATCAAAATGAGCGAACACAAAGGGAATGAATTTTTATATACTTAATTTTATTATATGTAAATGCATATGATAGCAAATAAAAATTTACCTGTATGAATTTAGAAAAAAACTAAATTGTATACTGACACTATACGTAAATATGTATACATATTCGAAAAGATTTCGCTCAGAAAATTTCTAAACGATTTCGCAAAGATTAAAGCGAAAATATTTCGTACCGATAAATTCGGTTCGATATAGTCAAAACCATACCTTACGAAATCGTTAAGGTATTTCTTTTCGAAGTCGTGTCAACCCTCTCATAAGAAATTCTTAACGATTTCGTAAAGAACCTGTGGAATTCACTGCGAATATGCAGTCGCACGTAAACATATATGTATGTATATAAAGATTTATACCCCTCTATTCTAACAGAGTCTTAAAACTTAGCTCATCACTGTTGTGATTTCTAGTGCGCCGAGAAATGTGTCACAAAAACTTCGATTTTGAGTGCTAGAAAAATACACAAAAATTTAAAAATTTGTTTTGTAGCGGCATATTTTTTGCAGCGGCAAGCTTTGAGGCGCAGTAGAAATCACAGCAGTAATGAGCTAAAGTTTGTGACTTTGTTAGAATACGGCTGATAAAGATAGAGACGATGACAGTTGCGGAGCGATAATGTTGAGTTGGCATATTAGATGAGTGGGCTAGTAGCTACGTACATATATATGTAATAAATGCGTGTCTGCTTAGGTAAAGGTTAGTTTATATGTACAAGTTTAAGGAGGTCTTCAAAATGCAAAGATGTAGTTGAATGGTTATTTTAAGCAATGATCGCAAGCTAATCGCACACATTTTCTCACCTTTTCCGAATATTCGACGACGTCGCGCATTGAGCGTGGAAATCCCGAAATTAGGTACGCTTTGGCAGCTGGAGCCATTTTCATTTCCAGCATGAGCACCTCTGTGACGGTTTTTGAGGATAGTTGCGAAAAGTCCTGCATATCTTTGGTGGAGAACAAATCGTTTGACGGTTAAGTAAAAATAAAACATTTACGCACGTACTGCTTACTTACCGTTTCCCATTGCATACTGTTGCAACAAATCCATCATATTTATGTGTGTCACACCGCGGCGCTCCTGCATAAATGTGTCACAGTGCGTCACTTTGCCACTACCTGGGCCGCCTAAAACAAATATCACTGGCACTTTGGGTGGATCGAATTTTATTTTTCCAGCATTTTGCATGTCTATGGCGACCATGTTTCCCGTACCGACCCGTCCATTGGCACTGTTTTGGTTTCGTATATGATTCCAATCGCTGCCGGGTTCGCCGGTATCCTGTGCCGCGCTGGCATCTAAAACGAAACATACAAAATTGCATAAATGCAAGTGGAAAAAGTTATATTTAAAAAATCTTTAATCTAAACAATAGAATAATACAACTTTGGAAAAAATTCACTTAGTTTTATTAAACTTTTTTTTTAGTTTTATTACTGTTGAACGCTGAGCACATCTTGTGTATATATAAGTTATCTTTTCTAATTTTATGTAAATAAAGTACCATTTATGAAACTTTAAAAAGTGGATTTTCTTTATTGCATACTATGTATGCATATATGTATGGGGAAATCTTTTGAGATGCGGATTTTTCAATAAAAAATATACATATGTATGTATACTAGCACACCCGGCGAACTTCATCCCGCCCAAAATTAGATTTTTAGTTTAAACGTTTTGGTCCAACATTTTCTCCAACAGTCCACGTTTACGATTTCTATTGGCACATTCATCGGCTAAGATTATTGTTTGGTGGTCGTTTGCCGCCTTAAATAACCTAACGAAAGTATTATGTCCATTAAGAAGTTTTCTGGCGGCAACAATGATACGGATCTATAGTGAATCTGCCCTAAAAACTTTATCTTATAGTCGGTGGCAATTTCAAAATGGGTGCGTATCATTGTTCAACAGGAATCCTATATATATATGTAGATACACAAACTTATTTCAGATGGAATACCTTAAAAGCCAGTTTAATGAAAACAATTTAAGTGAAAAATAATTTTTTTCTGTCAGGTTCCATATTAAATTCAAGTAAAAAAATAAATTTTCATTAAATTGCTTTCATGAAACTGGCTTTTAAGTTATTTCGACATGTGGTGATTTAGGATTTAACACTGCACAACTCCACCCTCCGAACGAAGCTTTAATGCATAGTAATGTTGGCTAATCTCATCCATTGGGCCAATTGTAAAACACGAGAGTTCGATATACTCAATGGTGCAACAGGTCGATTTAATCTGACCTTCACGGCACCTTTTCTCACTTGGCTATTTTTTAGTAATAACTCGACCTCAGCACCACCTGGCAGCTCTTTTTTTGCAATTGGACTGCCTTTTCCGTTTCCAACACATGTTTTGAATATTTGCCAAATCGGATCATAAAAAAAATTTTTAGTAATAACTCAACTCCAGCGCCAAATGGCGGGTTAAATTGTGAAACTAAACTATGCAAACAAACACACAAAACTTTGTTAAAATCCCTCCAGCCGTTTAGGATTTCACTCACAAACATGCCTCCAGAAGAATTATATACACACTAGATCGCCCTCACCCGCTTCGCTGAGTGTATGAAATTTCTACGTGATACCTTGAGTAGAATTTATTTCAAGAAAACTCAATTAAAAAACAGGAGGTTTAAAATTTGTTTAACCATCTTCACAATATTTTCAAACTAAAGCTTTCCTAAACTTCTCACTTGTCATATTCTTTCAAGTAACTTATCCCCTGAACTCAATTTGAGATTTTAAACAGGTGGAAACCTCTTAAATGTAGTTTTGAAATTAAGCCCTTTCAAGACCATTTCAATTGGCACCCATATTTTAATAATTCATTTAAATTATTGAATAGTTTGAATTTAAATTTTTAAACAGGTGGCAACCTTTTTAAACCTCTTTCCTCTGACACTCATATTGTGATTAACATTCAAAACCATTTAGATTCATACCAATCTTCTACAACAATATATATTTTGAAAGCCGTTCTTTATGTGTTCGCAAAGCTCGAGAACGGCCAAACCGATTTTTTTGAAATTTCGGACACCTGCTTCAGACGTCCCAAGAATGCTAGGCTAAACATTTTTAATATATTAAGGGGCGTGGCACTTCCCATACAAACCGATTTTTTCATACTGCATATCTCTGGAAGTGTTCATGGTGGAATACTGGAACTTGGTACGGCAATATATGAAATCAATCTTATAATCATGGAGAAAAATGGGCTATTTGAAAAGGGGACATGGCGCCGCAAAAAAGTTTATATATAATTCTTCTGTCTGTGTGTTGGTGAGTGAAATCCTTCTAAATGCTCGGACCGATTTTAACGAAGTTTATTGTGTACTTTTGAGTGGCTCTCTGGAGAGTGTAGTTTCAAAATTTCATCCGCCAGTTGGCGCTGGAGTGATGTTATTACTAAAAATCTCATTTATGATCCACTTTGGCTAATATTCAAAATGTTTATTGGTAACGGTAAAGGCAATACTATTGCCAAAAAGGGCTGCCAGATGGCGCTGGAGTCATTACGAATAATCGCCAAGTTAGAAAAGGTGCCTTGAATGTCAGATTAAAACGACCTGTTGCGCCATTGAGTATATCGAACTCTTATGTGTTACGATTGGCCCAATGGACGTGATTTGCCAGTGAAAGACTTAAAAATTATTCAAAACTTTCAAACTAAAGGTTTTTTTAACAATATTTCGTTAGACAACCATATTTTAATTCTTCAGATAGGTTGCGTACAAGCAATTTAAATTTGACTTTTCAAACAGGTGGCAACCCTTTTCAAAATATATTTAGCCCTCATCCATGAGTGGATAATGATTTTATATATCTCCGTACCAAGTTCCAGTAATCTACCAAAAATATTTCCTGAGAAATGCGGTATGAAAAATTCCGTTTGTATGGGAGGTGCCACGCCCCCTTGTCTAATCGAGATTAAATTTATCCTATATTTTAAGTTGGGCTAAATGACAGCAGTATACAAAATTTCATGATGATCGGTTGAGTTGTTAAGGCGTGAAAGCGAAGCAAACAAACAAACTCACTTTCGGATTTATAATATTATATATAATATATATATATATATAGTAAGAATTCAAAAATAAGTAAAAGTCAGTATGTTTGTACTTCGCCATGCCTTTTTTTCAAAAAGTCCATTTTTCTCCATGAGTATGGGATTGATTTCATATATCTCCATATGCAGTTCCAGTACTGTACACTTCCAGAGATATGCAGTATGAAATCCGGCTTTTCGAACAGCTCCATATTTATACCTTTCATGAGCATGAAATGGTATTATAACTTTGGTCCGATGTTTGTAAGTACCAGAACAAAAAGAGATAGACCCATGAAAATGTATACTTATATGATCAGAACGTCGAGCTGAGTTGATTTAGCCATGTCCGTCTGTCCGTCTGTCCGTCTGTGTGTCTGTTTGTATGCAATCTAGTCTCTCAGTTTTCGAGATATCCGGATCAAATTTGGTAGGTGGGTGTATTTATATAATGTATTAATCATTTGTCGGAACCGGAAGAATCGGACCACTATAACATATACATAGCTCCCATACAACTGATTGTTCAGATATGAGATTTTTCATTATAACTTCTCCATTTATGCAGCTACGAACATGAAATTTTGCAATACTTGCACCCATTATCAACAGAATACTTACAGTGAAAATTACAAAGATCGGGTCACTATATCCTATAGCTCCCATACAACTGATTGTTCAGATATACAATTTTGCGTTATAACTCCTCCATTTATATAGCTAGGAACATAAAATTTCGCGCTGTTTTCACTTATTATCAACAGAAAACTTACAGTGAAAATTAAAAAGATCGGGTAACTATAACCTATAGCTCCCATACAACTGATTGTTCAGATATGAGATTTTTCGTTATAATTCATCCATTTATGTAGCTAGGACCATGAAATTTCGCGCTGTTTTCACTCATTATCAACAGAAGACTTACAGCGAAAATAACTAAGATCGGGTCACTATAACCTGCAGCCCCCATACAACTGATTGTTCAGATATGAGGTCTTTTATCATAACTCC